TGGACGCTTCTGGCATCCCAATGGGACACCACAGATTCCATCACACCTAGTCAGCATAGGCAATGTTCAAGGCGATGGGAGTTGTAGTCCAGTGCATCTGGAAGAGGGGAGCTGGCCTGCCCCTGATTTAGAGGCACATTCCATTGAAATTAATGGGCTTTCAGTGACCGGGCAGTAACAGCCCCCCCCCCCGGCCCTCCCTTGACAAATAAGTTCCTTTTGTGCTGGGCAGAAATTACTCCCTAGCAAGTGTGTTTCCTACGGCTCAGCCTAAGGCCGCCAGGCCGACGACGCTCATCAGCCCGTGAGGCCTGCTAGCGAGCGATCATTCTGCGTGGCTCATTGACTACCATGGGGCGCTCTCTTCCAAGTGAATGTGGGGAAGCCAGCCCCCAGCTTGCCTGCCATGCTAAGGCACACATGCCTTGGAAAGCACGGTTCCGCTGACATCCACGGGGCTTCCTTCCGGGGAAAGCAGCGCCAGTCCTCAGCTTACACCCGATTGTGATAAGGGTGAGAAGAAAGTTCCCTAGAAAGACCCATCCCTTCCGCCTCCAGCATAGCGCAACTGGATCAAACCGAGTGTGCTTTGCTGTCCTTTCTCGTGCACGTTGCGTGAGATCTTCTTACGCAGCCGCCCATCTGGGGTCTCTGTTCCTGACGGCTTGTGTCAGGATGAAAGCGGGGAGCAGGAGGTGATTCGCCGCCGTTTGCTCTTCTCCCCAGGCGCCACTTCCACGCTCAGCGAGGCCCAAGAGCGGTGGCGGTGGCGGTGGCGACGGGGAGGGCGGCGGTGTGCGCGGAAGGCAGCCGAACGTGCCAAAGCGTGCATGGGCGATGGGCGCAGGCGAAGGTCGTCCCCGGGGACTGCGATCGGGGGCTCTGCCTCCACGGTCAAGAGAGGGCGGGCTCTGCCGGGGAAAGGCGAGGCAAGGTGGATCAAAGCGTGCTGGCTGGGGATCAGGTCGCTCAGCCTTCTCCCAGCTCCCAGCCCGCGGAAAGCCAGTGCCAGACAAGAGCGCTCGGAGCGGACGGGCCCACGTGCGTCTTGTCTCACGCTTTCGCCTCACTCTCTTTCCTTTGAGGGTTGGTCGGAAGCAATCTGCGGTTACTTCTGCACAACCGTGAGGAGGGCAACCGTCCACCCGCGAGCTGTCACATTCCCTACGCCCGGATTCCCAGGACTTTGCAAGCCAAGTAGGAGATTGGCTGGAACCCGACGCCGGGCCATCTCCAAAGCTGCCTCGCCCAAGTCAGTGCCGGGCGTCTCAGTTCAGACGTGGCGAGCGGGAGGCCTTTTCTCTTAGGGGCAAACTGCGCCGAAAGGTGGGGGAGCAGCAGGGAAAGATCCGCGGTTTGCTTGTCGTCTTAAACCCTGCTGAGGTGTGGAGGAGAGGCCAAGGGGAATGGAGCAGGCATCTTCTCTGGCTGCATCAGTTGGACTGTTGCACAATCATGGTAGGGCCCGAGGTCTAGGTAGCGTGTTGCAGAGATTATGATTAACTTTTTCCTACGTTTCCCTTTAGCAGAAGTTCCCTGGGAATGAAATGTTACCTGACCCTTGTCTTGGTTGACCCTCAGGCCCAAGTTCAGCACTAGTCTGTCTGTTTTAGAGCAGCAGATGCTCTTGACACACACACCCCCCACTAAGTTGTTAGTCTCCCCACCCACCAAAAAATAAAAAGCCTGTAGAATCACAAGCCATATCGCTTCCATGGTCCATGCTAATCCTAGGCATCTGTGCAGTGGAAATCCCCCCCTGGTAAATGCACTGGGAAACAGGGTGTCTTATTGTTGAACAAATTGGAATATTACAGAAGGACTCAAACATCCCAGGGCCTATTGATTGATCTGTTTTGAAACAAACACCAAAACCCGCAACACATGTATATTGGGTCATTAACCTGATCTACCATGGGAGTTAAGCCACAGTGTATTATTATTATCTGTCACATTGAAAGGTTTGGGACTAATGCTATAATCCCACACATACTTACATGGGAGTAAGATCCATTTAATACAGTGATATTTACTTTCCAGTAAACATACATAGGATCAGAAGAGTGTTTTAACTATTTGAGCGTGAAAATCTTGGCTAGGAAAACATCTTGAAGTCACATATATCTCACCTGACTTGATCAGTTTGGGACCTTAATACTAAATAATAGTTTGCTCCATGAATGTAACCCTCACCCTCCAAAGCACACCCTCCAAAGAAAATGCCATTTCAATGATATTAGTAAGCAAAAATAGGAAACAATTTTAATAACTGAAACCAAAAGCCAGAAACCAGTCTGAATAAAACTACAATAAGACCAAGAGTTTTTTTTAATATTTTTCATATCATAAGCAGGATTTGAAATTGATCCCTTCAGAACGTTTACATGAAATAAAAACATTATTATTATTATTTTTCTGCTGCTGCAATGCTGCGACTTCAACACAGTTGAATCCGTAAAAACCCAAAAGCTCAGAGGGGTATTTTCTGATGCATGACTATTAATATCCACAATATTTAAAACGGCAAGCACCATGCTCTTCATTTATCACGATTCTTGGTATTACTGTTAATTTATAAACTAATACAAACTTAAAATGCATCCGGCCAGCAGTGCCAGCAATCCGTAAAAGAAAACTAAAAATAAAAGGTTTTCATTTTGGTATTTTTGTCAGTGCAACATAAAATCCTTTTACTGACCTGCAGGAGGAAAAAAAAACCCCAGGAAAAAAATTAAAACAAGTTGGAGGGTTGGGGGGAAGAAAGGAAGAAGAACACCCATAAGACTCCAAGCTATTAACTATTAGGAGTTGCTAAGAAATTTGGCTAAATTCTCACTGGCTGCATAAAAAGCATATTAAACACTGCAAGAGAATATACTTTGAGAAAGCAAAGTCTGTCTTCAAAACAAATTTCTTTTTAAAGGAAAGAGCCATTTTCCTATGCCTTCAGAATTCTTTCATATGATTACACTGATCAAGTTAACTCCAATCAGAATACAAGCACGTGAGCAGGTCAGGACGCAGCCCCCCCCCCCAGCATCTCATAGCCTTAAGAAATGAAGTGGCCAGTTGTTGCTAGGATGGAGAGAGGGGGGTGTTGTGTGTGTGTGTGTGTGTGTGTGTGTGTGGCGGGATGGGGGGTGGGGGAGTACAGTATTCACAAGTTCTAACCTCTCTTCTGTTTTCCTGAGTGTATGATAAAATCAGGTGGCCCAAACAGGAGATGGGTGTCAAGTGGTGGACTGTGGGAATACATCTAAGTCTCACACTTCCACTTTCAATCATATTCTTCCTCAGTTACTTATGTTTTGCACTTTTCAAAGGACACCCATATTACCTTAGGCTGCAATCCTATATCCACCTACATATGAACAAGCCCCATTAAACCCAAGGGAACATACTTCTGAGTAGATATATACAAGATTGCATAGTTACTTGGAAGTTAGGTCCAATTTCCTTCAGTGGATGGTGATTCTTTCCAATCACAAAAATGGGACATCAGCTTCACTAATTTTGGCAGGATTGACTTAAGTATATTGACAATCAGGGTGTTAAGAGGTTAGGCATGTCACTTCCTGGCCCAACAAAAACCAAAATGAAAACTCAATTAAAAAAAAGGTTACAGCTTTTAAAAGTGCACCAAATATACAAAGTTGTTTTCTGAATGCAAAATGCCCAGAATTTCTCTTTTTCTCTCTCTGTAGTTTAGCATTTTCCAAAAGAATGACCAAAACCATTGAAAACCAGCCTGCTGAAATGTTCATGTGTTTTGCCCTGTGCAGGTTGATGTGGCTGATATTTACAAGCTAACAGAGGGCCCAATCCACTAAGTGTGCTCTTGCACACCAGAACGATTCATTTCAATGGGAGGTGCACAGGAGACATTTCTGATGGATTGAGCCCAAATTCAAAAAATAAAAAGAGAAATTGCAACAAACAATTGCATGAGCTGTAGAAAGAGGGCTTTTCACACATACACATACACACATACATATACATATATATATATATATATATATATATACACATACACACATATATACACACATATATATGTATATATATTGACTTTTTCTTACTCTTACTCAATGAAAGAAAACAAACAAACAGTAACAATAGAGAAGAAGAAAAAAACAAAGCTAGGGTCCATGATGAACGACATGCGAAAAGTTTAAACAAGAAAATGGTACAAAATAGAAGTTACCATACATGTCCAGCATGCAGGATTAATATTTTTAATGCAGATTTTTCGTATTTTTTCTATATAATCAAGCAGGCAATAAAACCGAAGAGCGCGCGCTCTCTCTCTCGCTTTCTCTCTCTCTCTCTCTCTTTTTGTCTCGTCTCCCCCTTTCTCTCTTTCATGGAAAGGTCCCATTTGAATTCGGTCACTCGCTCACACACACACGCTCTCTCTCGGCAGGCAACAGGAGGAGGAGTCTGCGTATTTCATCCTCTCTCCTTGTGTAGGTACGTTGTGCATTTCCCTCCCTCGTTTCCTTTCTTCTTTCATTTCTAAGAACTCCAAAGCAGATATTTTAGGTGGCTTGTCCGGTGCCCATCCCTTTGTTTTGCAAAGTCCAGGTTAAGGTTCTACAAGCAAGCAATCGATTGGTATAAAACGTTTTAAAACCAGTCCTTTCCTTTCCCTCCCCACCTATTTCTTTACCCTCCCCACTCTCTCTCTCCCTCCGTCTCTCTCTCTCCGTCTCTCTCTCTCGCTCTCGTTGGCCAACTAAGACAAAAAGTTGCATCCCCTCCCCCACTGAACTTCACAGCTAGCTAGTGAGACAAGATGCTGCAAAGACTGCACAGTCATGAATTGTAGGCAACCCACCAATTCCCGGCCTCTCGGTTATCCCTCCCCCCCGCTCCCCCTCGCTCTCCCTTTCTGCTCAGGAGGGTAGACGGATGGAGATGTCAGCGGATGGGAGAGAGGGACAAGAGGGGAGCGGGTGGGAAGATGGGAACCTCGGCCGGTCGGTTTCGAAAGGACTCACATGAAGAACTCGGGAGAAGATGGGTTGTCACTGGTGGATCCGGCCTCTCGGAAGCCATTGCCGGCCAGTTTCTCGCACTTGAGCTTGTAGGCGTCTCTTTCTCTGGCCAGCCGGGTCACCTCTTGCTTGAGCTGTTCCACCTGCTGGATGAGTTGAGTCTTCTCATTCTCCAAGTGATGCTTCTGCTGGACCCGCTTGTACCTGCAAGACTGGGCATAGCCTCTGTTCTTCAAGGTCCGCCTCTTCTGCTTGAGGCGGATCACCTCGTCCTTGGTGAAGCCCCTCAGGTGCCGATTAAGCTCTCTCACCGACATGGAGACCAGCTGGTCATCTGAGAACCTGTCCTCCACGCTGCTGGAAGAAGAGGACGAGGACGAGGACGAGGAGGACGAGGAAGGAGGATGAGGCTGATGCGTGTTCTGGAGCTGCTGGGAGGAGCTGGAGGCAGTGGACGGGGTAGGAGACGCCTGGTGGTGGTGAGGGTGGTGATGGTGGTGGGGGTGCCCATTGCCGGACAGGTCTTCATGGGTGACTCCCGCATACTGGTGGTGGTGATGCTGGTGGTGGTGATGCTGGTGGTGGTGGTGGTGGGCGGCAGCAGCCCGGAACGTCTCGAAACTCTGGAGCTGCTGGGGCACCTGGTGGGCGCTGATGAGGGCTTCCACCGCGTCTTCTGGAGTGAGGTTGAGTGCCTCGGGGTTCATCTGCTGGTAGCTGTTGGCCATCCAGTAGAGGTCCTCCAGGTGAGTCTTCTGCTCGGTGGGGCTGAAGCTGGGCGAGGAGGGCACCGAGCTGCACGGGGTGCTGATGGGAGTGGAGGACACGGAACCTGCAGGCTGGAGGCGCGTGCAGTGCCTGCCCGAGCGGTCTGCTCTGCCCACGGGCTCCTTCTTCACGTCGAACTTCATCAGGTCGAAGTCATTGACGTACTCCATGGCGAGAGGGCTGGTGGGCAGCTCGGAGCCGATGTTAAGCTCGCCAGCCATCGCGCTGGGCTGCGGTGGGAGAGTCTCCTCTCCCGCTGGAGAGAGGAGGAGGAGGAGGAGGAGGGCTGGCCGACTCGCTGCCTCACTCCAGGATCCAAGTCTTCCCGGTGCTAGCCAGCCCGAAGGAACTTTCTTCTTCTCCGACTAGCCTCACCCGAGAGCGAGCGAGCGAGCGAGCGAGCGACACACGCAGGCTGCAGCCGCTTCTTGTTAGCACAGACTGCAATGCAACCGCACAAAAATAAAATATAAATCGCGCTGCCACCGCTGCTCTTCTTCCTCCTGCCAGAAACCAGCTGGCAAAAGAGGGGGCAAATACTTTTTTTTCTTTCAGAAAAGAAATGGAATAAAGGAAATCCTGCGACGCTGTCCGTTCTTGTTGCGTTTTCCCTTCCCTCCTGCAGCGTATATATGTATATCTATATTACGAATATATACATGCACGTATATCTATGCAAGAAGAAGCAGGATCTGCCTGCAGCTCGCTTTTGTTTGTAAGTCCGGCTTTCTCTTTGCCCACCACCGCGACGGCGATCTGAGAGCAACTTTTCGCTTGCTTCGCTGCTTGCCAGAAGGGCGGCCGATGGGTCGCGGAGGCAGAGTTTGGGATTGCGCTGGCGGAGGGGAGGAGGGACGATGCAACGCGGGGAGCGGGGAGGTGGGGGGGCGCACGGAGCAAGAAACAAGCCGCCGCCGCCGCCGCCGCCGCCGGTGCCTGTGCCGCCGCCGCGAGATCCGCGCTCGGTTCCCCGCCGCAGCCTCCAGCGCGGGGACTGCGCAGCTGTGATTCGCCGAGCTTCCCCTCTTGGCGCCTTATATCGCTCGCTCCGAAGACCCTCCGGGGAAAGGGGCGGCGCCGGCCGCGCGCTCTGACCAACCGCGGCCCGGGCGCGGAGTTCCTGGGGTAGCCGGGGGCGGGGCCGGCGCTTGGCAGAGGCTGACAGCTCCCAGCCGGTCAGCTGACTGGCAGCTGGAGAGAACGGGCCGGGCGCTGCCATTCGCCCGGCCGCGCTTTCATCCTCGCCGCCTCTCCTGGCCCCGCGCCCCTCGCCGCCCCGGCCGGGCGGTTCGCGCTCCCGGGCCGTGAGGGGCGTGGTGGGGACCAGCCTTTCCCCAGCCCCAGCCCCAGCCCCCGCTCCGGGATGGTTTGTGAGCGTTGCGCCTGCTGCCCAGCCCCGTCACGCGCAGACCGCCGGGCGCACGCACGCACCCGCCCGCGCACGCACCCGCCGTCCCGTCACAGGCAGGGAAGCACGAGCGAGGCAGGGAGAGGATTGCAACTTTGCTGCGGGGGCGGGGGGGGGGGCTGGCCGCTCAGCCGAGGAGGCTGGGTGCAGGCAGGGAGCGCTCGCACGAGGTGCTCGTGCTCGCGATAGAAGTGAAGGGCGAGTGGGAGAGAGAGAGCGAAAGACCGCAGTTTAGAAATCCCCTTCGCAGCAAACAAAATAGTAACGCGGGGACTCCCTTGCTAGGCCGGGGAGGAAAAAAATAAAGCAGCGTTTCACTTCTAGGGACAGTCTGCGATTGCCTTTTCGCTGCGAATGACTGCATGCGCCGCAGAACTCATTTTGCAACTTTCTTTCTTTCGGGAGGGGGGACCGCTCCACCAACAGTGTTTTTGTTTGAACATTTTGTAACGATTAAGGGAGATTAAGGCGCGCGCGCGCTCTCTCTCTCTCTCTCTCGCTCCCTTTTCTGTTTCTTTCACGGCGGCTTCGGCTCCAAACGGGCATAAAGCGCGACCCCAAGTGGTCAGATGGAGAATAGCACCTAGTCCTAGAGGAGGCAAAGAGAATATTAGGGGGGGTGGGGGGCTAGGGCAGGAGGTGAAATGATTTGCACGAGGAGGAACAGAAAACGACCAGACCCTCGAAGTTAGTCTGTCTGTAATACCGGCAGAGATCCGTCTTCTTGCGCTGGCACAGCGCTTAAAATGCAGGTGGTCTTTTCTCGCGAAAGTTATTGGTTCATCCACCTGTCTTTGCAGAAGGGGGGGCGGCCTCTTTCTTATTTATTTATTTAAAAACAGATTGATCAAGAAGTCTTGTGACTTTCGTCGCTTTTCATCCCATGTAGGAAGACGATACATGATGCAAAGTCCCCCCACCCCCACCGCCAATACTTCTTCACGTTCTGCACTGAAACTTTTCACACGGCAGGGCGATGTGGTTTCTTTCATCCTAGCCCAGCTCCGTGCAACGATGTCGACGGTGCGGTGACGGGTGCCCGCCAAAGGCCCGTGCCTTGCCCCTTCCAAGCCACCTCAGCCCTGAAAGCGTTTAATTCTCCCAGCGAGCGTTCCTGCCGTGTCATTCCACATCACTGCCTTAGAAACCCTGACTTGGAAATACGTTGCATTGAACTTGGACCTCGCGGCACTGATCACAGGCTGGGATCTTGCGGGGGGGGGGGGGAGTTGTGGGCCTTGGGGGCCTGGGAATCCCGCTGTAAAACCTTCGGAGGCTGAGAGGGACGGGTCACGTACGCTTCCACGCGGACGGAAATTCTGCGGAGGAAACCCGGGCTGGACAGTTGCTTCCGAGGCGTGGTGGAAGAGCCAGTTCCCCATAAACCGTAATTGTTTCGCCAGGAAGGAAGGGGGGAGAAAGCCCGCGCGAGAGCAAGGCAGGCTGGTGCGGGGGCTAAGAGACGGGGGCACCCTGCAAGGCACCGACCTTCCGAGGTAGCCCAACCCAGGAGCATCATGGGCATCACACCCTGGGTGAGAAGAGAAGCCAGAAAATTAGGAAGACGGGCACACCGTGTGGGGGATTTCTCTCAACTCCTAGGCATGTGAGGTTCGGGGTTTGGAGAAACGATCAGATCTGTGCGTGTCTTTTGCGATTCTCCCGTGCACATCTGCAGAAGATGCAGATTCCGTCGCGCATCCCCTGGCTCTTCCTTACACACACAGGCGCGCATCAGATGCCTCCTTCCACGTGCTTGACCCCTCAGCCCCGGTACACATCCGATGCATGTTTACTTTCAGGAATGCTGCCCGCAGGAGAATTCGCTCCCCACGCGGCGGTGCACACCAGGGCTGCATTCTCTTCCCTCGCCTGTCCCTGTTTGACAATCTTCCAGATTTATGTTTCCTGTTTCGTTAAATGGTGTTCAGGCAAGACAGTGCATCGCTCCACGCCTTCCTCACGCCCCCCCCCCGCGCCCCACTTCCCGTCGCGCGCCATTAAAATGCACTTGTTCATAACCAGAAGAGAGCGCCAAGCAGCGAGGGAACGCGTCCGTGTTGGCTTCATAAAAGGAGTTAATGAAGGGAGAGTTCTCGGTGTAAAGGGACAGGGAGTTATTAAATTCGGACGCCACCGAGGCCACCGGATTGGCATGGCCGAGGGCGCACTCCGTGCCTCGGATCGACAGCTCGCTGCAGCACAAAACGGGGATGGAACAAGCGGGCTGCCACGCTCGCGAACTCTTGGCACATCCCCTCGAAGTAAAATGCACCTCGGAACGGCGTTAGGCGCCCTTTCTGGAATGCAGCCGGGGCTTCCGCTAAGGTTGCTGCAATCCAGACAGCCTTCCCCCGATTTGAAACTGATTTGCTAGGCATCGGGAAGGCTGGCCTGCGAAACAGTGAGTTTACGATCGGGACCCGGCTTCCGAGGGAGCGCAGGCTTGTGTCGCGCCTGGCGTGCCCGCAAGTCGCGGTGGCAGGTCAGGGCTTCGACCCAGGCCCGTCGCTGCTCCTGGCAAGCACGTCCCGTGGGTCGCAGAGACTTGGGCTTCCGAGCAAGCGCGGCGAGTGACTTCAGATCGCCTCCTCAAGCAGTGGGAGGCTCTCCGCAGGCTTGCAATGGATTTCCATGAAAATGGCTCACCACGGCAAACGCTTTGGTTGATCCGCCCGATTCCGACCGCGTTTGCTCAGAAGTAAGTTCCTCTGAGTTCAGTGGGACTTCTTTCTCACTTTGCGCCTGCGTGTGCTTGGGACTGAGACGCCCGTTGGGAGGCGGATCGAGGCCATTCAACTCCGGCCTAATTCTCTCTCCCGCACACAGACACTCGCACAAAACAAAGGAAGCCGTCCTGTTAGCAATAACAATCAAACACCTTTTCTGAAATGAAAAGAGCGGGGTATCCCCGATCAAATAGTCTGTGGGATGCACAAAATCTTAAGTGTGTTTGGTGGAAGCTGAGGATGCACAGAAGTGGTACCAAGAAAGAACCGCTACTGATCCCAGAGGCGGCAGGGGCACCGCGAGTCCAAGTCACCCTTCTACCTGAAGTTAACTCTCTCTCTCTCTCTCTCTCTCTCTCTCTCTCTCTCTCTCTCTCTCTCTCTCACACACACACACACACACACACACACACACACACACACACACACA